CCATATCCTGTATCTTTCAACTATTACTTCTGACATTATTTTTCTTACATTACAAGTAGAACAAAAACATCATTCCTGTTAGACCATCTAACCACCTTTATTCTGTCAATTTATACCTGTTCCCTGATAACACAATCTAATTTCTTTCTGCCTATTAAGTCTATAAACTATTCTGCTCCAATGATTAGCTATGAAACCCCCAACTACCAGACCTCACTATCTATGAAACTATCCCTCATCCCATTCTCAGCCATTTAGCTTAGTTTCCTCACCAGTATGCCAAACTCAGTTCTTCAACTCTGCTTACAGCTACAAACGAAGTTTTAAATTTCCATTTTACTTCCTTCTGTTTTCTCCCTCCTCAAATCCTCTAAATTATGCAGCCTAGATGCCCCATGATTACTTCCTCATTAATTACTTCATCTTACTTCCTCAATAATACAAACATCTTGATCCAGAATCTTGGAGCAGTTTCTCAGTGAAGTTCTGAAAACCCTAACCGTAATTTACTGTTTGTATTCTCTCATACATTCTTTACTACAATAAATCCTCAAAAAGTATTACCTATATCTTTAGAAATCCTCAGCTCATAGTCCCTCAAACCCCCAGAAACAAACAATTTCAATCTCAAGAGCCATAACTTTCTACTTAAACACCCTCCATTTCTGTTCTCAATTTCTTAACCTTTTCACATAATCTATTTTTTTCCTTCTCAACATTTTCAACCCTTCTTAAAGAGAGGCTCCCATTTCTCCCTCATCACACAAACTCTTAAAAATTAACTCCCCCCTGATCATTCTAAGCTTGTTAATTTTTCTACTAAAAATTCTACTTTTTTTGGATAGTGATACATAATAACCTCTCATATTATTCTGCTTAAAATTAAGTTTAGATATTCTATTAAGGAACTGATGGATAAATTGGAATTTTCTAATTGATAAAATGTGATTACTGGGGTTTTGCTCTGGGTTCTTCTTGTTTGTAATTAATGTTGATGACTTGGATTACTACACAAACGTTAATTTTCCTTATCTGGTAATAAAATTAAGATATAAAAAGCTGATTCTGTGGATATTTCTTTATTTCAGGGGGGATTGGCAGAACTTAATGATTAGGCTATAATGAATTTCATAATGAAAAAGTAAAACAGATAATTAATGGTAAGAAAATCTAAAAGACTTGTGTGATAAGCATAGGCAAAATGGTGTTGTGGGAAAAAAAGGTTTAGATATTATAACAGCTAAATCTCAAATAAAGTGTGTACCTGTAATGAAAAGAATTTGTGGAAGCTACAATGGTACTACGTGATGGAAGAGAAACTTTCTATACATGTATTCCCATAAAGCCTTATTTATAAGTTATACCATTTTGTGTTGTTTTAATAGAACAGATACCAAGAAACTGGAGAAAATGCTAAGTTACACTACTAGAATTGTCTTTATTTTAAGAATATTTATGGTGGACCTAAATAAATTGAAATGACCTTCACTGGAACAGAGAAAAGTAAATGTGATTTGATTCAGGTTTTTCAATTTGCTAGGAACTTTCACTTAGATAAACTGCTTATGGGATGTCTACTTAGCTGGTGAAATTAGAAGGTAGTATTGAATATTAGGGAGAATAATAACAAGTGATGAAAGCCAAGGCCTAGATTAAACTTTTTTCTCTGTTCCAGCCAAAAATTGTGAACTTGTTTGTATCTGATGATGTTGTAGCTTATATTTGTTTAAATGGTTGTTGTGGAGCTACCTTTAATTAAATGGCTGCTTTTATAGATGGTTTGTTTGTTTGTTATGAATTTCGCGCAAAGCTACATGAGGGCTATCTGCGCTAGCCATCCCTAATTTAGCAGTGAAAGACTAGAATGAAGACAGCTACTCATCACCATCCACCACCAACTCTTAGGCTACTCTTTTATCAATGAATATAGGATTGACAGTCACATTTATAACACCGCAAGCATGTTTGGTGGAATCAGATGGCTTCCTGTCACCTTGCTCATTCCTAAGTTATTAGGTTGCTCGAATGGTAAATTACCTGCTATTTATTAATCATAGAAGAATATTAATGATTTATAAGTCAATGATGACCTTCATTTCTTATGTAAATCACATGCTATCAACATTTGAAATACAAAAAACATTGTACATTAGATTACCATTAAACAGCTTAAAAATTGAAAATTTTGCTAAACTATTCTGTGTCCATTATAAAGAGCTACACTATATTAGCTTGGATGAGGAAGTGTAAATTTTGATGGGAAATTTCAAGAAAATTTTAAGTATTGAAAAATACAACAGTCGTCAAGATATTATTCTTTGATTGAATGAAGTTTTGAAATTATGGAGCTACTCAATAAAACAATACAAATCATTTATGCAAGTTTTCTTCCAATGGAAAATGATGGAGTAAAACTGACCCAACAAAACTCAACTTCACTCGAAACCACTCATAATACCATTATATCTGTCCAATCACATCATCAAGTTGAAAACATGGAACATAATATGTCAAATGTAGGGCATCAACAAAAAACATTATCCCAATATCTATGATACACTATGCTTAGGATTAAACTGAATGGTAATATACTGGATTACAACATTAAAAAAACCCTAAGTCAAATTTCTTTATAAATTTACAGTTTGGGCACAAAATGGGTTGGTATTCTTCTAAAGCTCTCCATCTCTTAATTACTTTAGCAGTATTATGAAAGTGTAAATATGAAAGTCTTTACAAATCTGCCTTAACCCTATGTGCATGGGTGGGGGTCAAAGTGTGCATGCCACAACCTTTTACAGTGTCATTCAACATAGTATTATGTATTTGATGTCAGAGTTATCAAGTGTTTATTTTAACCTACACTGCTGATTTAGGAACAATTTGTGGTAAACACCAGATATAATATGCTGGGATACTGAAAAAACTGTTAGATATGTATTTCTGTGGTTATAAAAATTATGCAAAATACACAAACTGTATGATGGGCAAGCATATTTTTATTCATCATATAAACATCACCTTACATTACAACTTGTCAAAGTCTGAGTCAGACTGACATTGTCAAATCACAGAAATACCTAGTGTGTAAATACTTTTTGTAAGATATGTTTTTTTGTGGACAACAGACTTTTGCATTTCACTAAAAACTTGCCACTTTTCATGTAGATACATATAGTAAAATTCAAAATTATAGTCAACTTTACTTCTCCAATACAGGTTAGTCAAATACAATGAGTCTGTGCATTAGTGGTTAATTCAGCTTAAACTAATGATTTTTAGCTCTCAGTAGTTCACTAAAGTTAATGCTCTACCAATTGGTTTTACTATATACATCAAACATAATCATGTTTGTATTACTAACACTAAGTGCACTTAATTAATACATTACTAGCCATATCCAACTAAACACTAAAAATAAGATATAAAATAGCATTTTCTCTTGTAAGTTCTTTGACATGTTGGATAAAAACCATTGATTTCTTTTCAAAAATACAAGTTCAATGGTTTAAAACAACAGCATTACATATACAAAGGGTAAAGTGTCTGTGCTACCTACTTATTAATTCTGAATTTAACCTAAGATATAGAAACTAAATTAGTCATAAACAGTATAAATGCCACAAAAATGTATAAAAGTAAAAATTATAATCTAGCCTACAATGTTTTATTATATTTTTAACATTACTGACTTTAGGAATTAGGTTTTTTGAAAAAAAATGGTCAAACTCATAATATGAAATACAAAAAAATTAAAGCATAATTGAAATTTATGACATTTTAGCTATGACAAGTCAAAACTATTTCAGTATTATGAAATAAGTCAGTAATCTCCCTTCCATTCATTTTCTTATGCAACTGAGGGAACTGATGATCACTGACATTAATCAACTTTGTGATCTAAAAGTTTAAAAATAAATACTTGACATGCCATTTATATTACCAATTCTCAAGGATTCAGTGGGTGTCAACCCCATTTAGTTTTCGGTTTTTACATCAATTTAAAAATGGTACAAAATAGGTTTTCTTTCCACAGTTTGTGCTAAAGAATCCCTTTTGGTGATTCTGACTGACCCCAAGAATACTTTGAAACAAAGTTACAACAGAATGACATAGACAGACTGCATGCACATTTTTTATAGACGGGAAAATAACAACAACTAATTACCACAGTTTCTTATCATAATTTTATTTTTATGCTATATAATCACATTTTCTTTGCTTTTTACATATGAATGTAGTTACAGTTTTGAAAGACACAAATACATTTGTGGGAAAAGTTTTAGGAATAAAACAAAGAGGTAAAGTGAACTATTAAAAATAATTTATTGTTTACCCCTCCCTCCCCGTCTCCTCTGCAAGTTTTTCCTGAATCTTGATATCTTCGAAATATTCATTCATTCGCATTGTCCATGTTATATCATTATATTAGTTATATGCAGTAGTTATGCACAATCTTGTCCGTTTTAATTTAGAATATGAATTATAATTTGTTTTAAATGCTCGTACACTGTTTAAAAACTTTAATTATACAAGTACTGAAGAAGTAGATGTAGTTGTACTAGTCTTCAGCACTAATTGTGAGTAAAACTCGCAAACATGTGTGCTGTGTTTGAACCAAAAATTGGATCTTTGAGGAGGGGCGAACGTAGTGAAATTTCACATGAAATAAAAAAAAGCAATAACAACAACATCCAGCAAACATTATAGCAAATCTAAATAACCCATTTAACCCTACCACTATCAGGGAAGTCCCGAAAATTCCTCGTTTACGTTCAAAATCATCGCGCCTCCCCGTTTTCAAAATTCCGGATCCGCCACTGTGAACCGTACTTTCTAAGTTACTACGGCACTAGTACTTAATAATAAGTTAGAGTTTAGCTAAGTTGCATAAAAAAGAAAACATGCCATTCAGATAACATAAATAAAAGTTAAGCTTATCACCGTACACTACATAACAACTACCACTGCTAATCGTAGTACTACTAGTAGTACAGTACCAATTTTTGAGACACTTCGGTTATTTCCTGAAAGTACTTTATAGCAGGTCGAAATTTTACTTGCATGTCACACAATAGAAATGCCACTCTTTCAGCTGAAATCATATTTTTAAGATAACGTTCTTCAACAACAAATACTTTAAATTATATACTGAGCTTATATGTACATGAACTCAACCATGAATAGAAAGTATTTAATTTAACAACTAGTAAAATATCACGTGTATGATTTAGAAACATTGCGCCCTCTATATCAGGACAATGAATATTAACGTTTGACCAGAGAAAAACTAAAACCCAGCCCGGTAGTGGGTTTATTTGTTTGTTTTAAGTCAAGCACAAAGCTTCACAATGGGCTATCTGTGCTCTATTTACAACAGGTATAGAAACCAGGTTTTTAGCGTTATAAGTCCGCAGACATGCTGCTGTGCCACTGGGGTCCCGGTAGTGGGTATAGCTAATTAAACTTACCTCTTACGTGCTTACCTATAAGGATTATAAAGCATTGTTTCACCACTTAGACACCCTCGCTACTATTGATCTTTTCGGCCATAAACCCAATATTAAACAGCTTGAGTGACTAGCGAAAAAATTTACGAAACTATTCATTTCAAACTGGGTTCCTTGTCGTCAACTACCTTATAAACTTCGTTCAGCTCCGGATATTTAGGTTAGTTCTAAATCCATATACTAGGCTAACAATGCAAAATTATATTTATAATTAAACAAAAACAAAACAAAAAAAATACATCTACAAAACATTCCAATCAATACTGTTAGTGAAAATAACATCAAAGAAAAAATATTGTGGAACATATAAACACTTGTTGTTGTTTTTTGTTTGGTCCATCTAATTTTGTAGATTTAAAGGTTTGTTGAAGAACTTAATGTCAGTACATGCACAACTGCACAATCTAGTGGTATTTTTGAGTCAAACTGAGTTAGACTCATATTAATAGGATAGGACTGCTTTAAGAGGAGGTTCAACAAGATATTTATTACAAAGTGGTACTGAATCTCTGAGAATGAATAAAAAGACTGTAACCAAATTAATGTATAAATGAAAATTTTTATTATAATAGAATTAACACAAATACTGTGTGTGTGTGTGTGTGTGTACTTGCTTTTATAGAAATGGGACAATTACTTGTCAGATAGATTCCTTTCAAACTGGTCACCCACCAGACTGTTTAAGTTCAACATGCCTTAGATTACAAGTAACTTAGCTTGTATCAAAATAAAAAAGGGAAACTCATGGTATGGTTATATACCAACTTTTCTTTCTTCCCTACTTAAGGCTTGTCCTCAAGCGCCGACACTTGACTTTAATTTAAAACCAAAGTTTTAACTCGGGTCCTGGTCAAGGCATGTGTTAACTTTCTCTTGCCACTCTAAATACTTACTTGCAACACAGACGACAACCTTTATACAAAGAAAGGCATATTATACCATTACATAGGAGCAATTAAACAAAATAATACCCTATAAATTAGATACAAGCAAAAACAACCATAAAAAGAAAAAACTTTAACAAGGAGAATCTAAAAAATAGAAAATATTTCAACAAAAATGTATAATCCAACCAAAATTTAACATAATCGTAAAAAATACAAAATCATATTAAAATACAAATCCTCTAACAAAGAAATAAAAAAGCAATAACTGGCACAGCACAGCGTTTAGAACATCCAAGCCAATCCAGGGTGCTCCCATTGTTTAAAAGCTATAGTTATAGAAAAGAACCCTCTGACTCAAAATTTAATGTGACGGAGCTGGCACATGTCTTGGTTACTGTTAACAAGATCATAAAAAAGTATTTTAAAGCCGGTAAAATGCATAACTTGAAACAAAAAAGATGTTTTTAAATGGGAAAAACTGAAACAACGGTAATTTCGTTTCGCCACATAACTTTCTGGACAGCTATGTAGTTCTCATAAACCTTTGAAAGTTTTTCTCTGCTTAAACGTGGTCTTATAGGCCAATGCCACTTACCTACGAAGGAGGGTCTGTGGAAAGTTTGTCAAGATTTTTATCATCGTCATTTGTAGAAACTTTTTAAAGTGAAAATCATGGTGTTGGGTAATAATGCATAACCATGGTCATCAAAACGAACAGAACCGACGACGAAGGAAGTAGTTTCAAGTGCAGCCCCAGGTCTGGAATATCATTCTTAAAAAAATGTGATTACCTCTCAGTACGTTATTGTAATACTTGTATACAGAAAGTACACTTCTCATTAGTTTGCCGTTTTCTTCTTCTTTTAGATAGCTAGAGATAGAAAGTCTGTATAATTCCAATGTGTTCAGATATTTTCACTGTTTAGACCTAGCGTCCAGTAGATTGACGAGTTAGTTAAGAAATTAGGAACCACAGTGAAAATAATTCCAGTTAAGACTGTGATTTGAATGGAGTCTTCTGTGAATTGCATTTGTCTTAAAGTTTTTGGACGACGTTTCGAGTTGCTCGAACCTTCGTCCAAAAATTTCTAAAGCAGATACAGTTCACAAAAGTCTCCAATGAAGAATAGTCTACTCTGCTTAAAGTTTCTCTTAATTTGATACTAGGTATAAACAGTAATTATTGCGTTGGCATTAGGAACTGCTATTCAAGATATGCATATAATATCTTAATAGTCTACTACAGTTTTGACATGTATTTTGCCAATGTCAAACAGATTTAATTTATAGACCAATGCAAAATAGTTTTCAGTCATCATATGTACAGATAAGTTTCTAAAATTTCCCAAAGGGTTAACTTGTGGGCTTATAATGCTAAAAATAGGGGATCAGTTCTCCGAGGTGGACTGAGCGCTGATAGCCCAATGTGTAATTTTACGCTTAACAACAAACAACATAACAACTCATTATGATGTTTAACTTTCAGGTTCGTTCACGTGGCCATTTATTATAACAGTCATATTTTAAAACGGTTGTATAAACTAATTATAGTATCAAAAAGTTGAACCTATATGTATATATACACAACCTATCAATAAGTAAAAATTCACTCCAAAGAAATGTCGTTTTATTAAATAAATGTGAAACAATGGGTGTAAGATGGTTTTTAGTATTAATGGATCTGCCATTTGCAATATTTAAGACAGAAACACAGTTATACATCATATTTACAAGATCTTAAATCTGGATTTGCGGGTTTATTGTGAATTTCGCGCAAAGATACACGAGGGGCTATCTGCGTTAGCCGTCCCTAATTTAGCAGTGTAAGGTTAGAGGGAAAGCAGCTAGTCATCACCACCCACCGCCAACTCTTGGGCTACTCTTTTACCAACGAATAGTGGGATTGACCGTCACATTATAACGCCCCTACAGCTGAAAGAGCGAATATGTTTGGTGTGACGAGGATTCGAACCCGCGACGCTCAGATTGCGAGTCGAGCGCCCTAACCACCTGGCCATGCCGGGCCGGATTTGCGGGATAGATACACATATAAGGCATACGTTTTCTAACTTAATGTATCCATATACTGTAGCTACAGTAAATGACTATATTTGTTATGGTAAAAATAATTTTTTGGGGGCGTCAGCAGCTGACTTATCAATATAAAAATACATTGAATGTAACTTTTTAAACTTACATCATGATCAAAGGAATTATCCAAATAAAAGCGCTGTTCCAAATATAATTGAATGATTTGATTAAAATAAAGTTACTTTTCCTCAGAGAAGAACGGTGACGTATGTAGACGAGTTAAATTTGAAGAAATAATAAAATAATATAAATAATATTTTTAACCTTTCAATATATTTTCCTCCTTTTCATCTAAGTCTTAACGAAATACCTCTAATAACACATCATACACGACATCATATTTAAGCCTCTAATAAATTAACTAACGTCATCTATGTGAAGAGATTTAAGTACAATTATTTGGTTAATTTTTTGTAGAAAATATAATAATGGTTAACACTATTATAATAATCTCCTAAAACAAAAGTTTTCCGGTTTTCTTTCAAAGCACAACCTTATTCTTTATTCAACTGAATGTTATTATTAACTGGAAGGAAATTATGTAAACTTCTGATTAATGAAATGTTATCTTAGGACATAAAAAGTTGCCTCCTTTATATGTAATTGTAAAAAAGGCAGAAACACCAATAAAACTGCAAAACACAAAATGTGAAACCACAAATTTGCATGTATCTCCGTATGGACCCAAAAAGCCCTCTTGTCAACTTTGGTGAAAATCCATCAACAGGGGACGAAGTGGTGGTAAAAAAAACGCCTATAAAAACCGCAAAATTTAAAATTTGTATTTATCTATCTCCCTATGGACCTATTGAACCTCCATACCAATTTGGTGAAGATCCATCTACAGGAGGCGAAGTAGTTACACGGACATACAACAGACAGTGATATTATATATATATATATCTTTTATACCATTACTATGAGTAACACAAAAAGTAAACCTGATTTAGAAAAATACTTGATAAGCCAACTAAAAATAAGCACCGACATTTTTTATTCTCCTTGAAATTTAAAAATTCGAAAAACTTCTCAAATGATAATAGTTTCATATATGTATTTTTTTTAAATTAAAAGTTCAAAGTCCAGAAATAACTGTATTGTACTTTTATCACGTAACATTAATTGTTGTATAACATCATATTACTTCCAATACCCGTTTCGATACCCGTGGTGGGCAGAGCACAGATAGTCCATTGTGTAGCTTTGCGTTTAATTACAAATAAACAAACAATAAACAATTACACGGCAACAAAGTCTACGCAAAGTATATTTAGGTAATGGCTAAACATCTCTTTTTAAACGTAAATTAATCAAACTTGAATAAATGTTTCACGACTATAAAAATTTTCATGTAATGTTGACTACCAGAATTGTCTGAAAGACTTTCAAAGAGTGAAAACAGTTATTATCTCTGAACACTCCACCATTCAATATCGTCCACAGAATGTTTACTTTTTTAATATCGTTCAAATAATATTTAAACTACCAACAAAGACCGTTTTGTTATTTAGTTTTAAATACCATTAATAACACTAGAAGATTTACACATGACATCACGTGCAATACATGTGTGTATCTCTTAAACCACATTGCTCTGACATTCATTTCATTAACAAAAATATAGAAAAATTCATCAACTCTCTTATCTTTGTGTAGCTGAAAGAAAAAATTAACAAAATAAAATAAGATTGAATTCAACCTATTAATTTCTTTTACTTGGAAACACTTAA